ACCAGAAAGTCTGAGGGAAAGATCACAGTGATCAGTTCTGGGACCGTAGGAAAATTGACGGAGGCTTGAATATAGCTGGAGAGAAACTCACGTTTGAGGGGGCTCTTGTTAATCGGACAGGTAGACATACATTGGACCCAGAGGAGTAAAGGAGCGGGCTGTCACTTGGTTTTCCGACGAGGACTTGAACGGATCATGTGGAGGTTTACCCCTGCTCAGTGTGTGCTCAGTAATGCTTCCAGGGGGAGAAGGTCCAGGATATCCAGTTACACAGGAAAGGCTTCCTGCTGAAGAGCAAAAACAAGATTAGACTCAGAAAAACAAAGTTTCGGTTAGACTCTGCTAATCTCAGCTTCGCTAGAGTACCCAAAACTGGCAAACACTCTGGCGTCGAGGTAGTGACAGCCCGCTGCTCAAATACTCCTCCGGTAATGATCCAACGAGTTGCAGGTGTGCAGGGAGGCCCAACGAGGAGCAGGGTACCACCTGGTGGTGGAGAGAGAAAAACACAAAAACAACCCACACAAACTGGATTCCTAACACCGGCTTCCTCTCCCAGTCCAAAAACATGACTGTTAGCTTAATTGGCTTCTCTAAATTCTCCTTAGGTGTGTGTTTGCGAATGGTTGTTTTTCTCTGTGTTGCCCTGTCCAGGGTGTACCCTGCCTCTCGCCCATAGACAGCTGGAAATAGATACCAGTACCCCTCGTGACCCCACTTTATTTATTTATTTGAATAGGGACAATGCACATGAATGTACATCAGTATAAAAACAAATGTAAATATGCCGGATTATAGCTACAAAGCTAGTTTCCATCCGTAGTCCCTAGGCAGGCAAATACATAAGAAAAAACATATAAGATACAATACAAGCATCACTTGGGATAAGTGTGATAGCAGATGGATGGATGGATAATTTTTTGTGATGTTGTTAATCTGAGTAGCAGCAAAGTAACAGACTTTACGTGATTGACATAATTTAGATCCAAGTCCAAAAATACTATCAAATTCAACTTTTTATCCCACAAAAATCTATTTTTTTCAAGCTTATCTGCATTAATTTTGAGAAAACTCTGAACAGTCCACTCATTTATATTATATTATCCCTCTAGTGATGCCATTTTAAGAACTGGTTTAACAATAAAAGGGTTTTGTTTGAAGGATGGAGTCGCTTTCCAACACTAGTTAACACATACTTCTCAACTATAGCTGTATTTAATCTGTAAATCATTTATCTGCGACCATTTGTCATTGTTTACCTTGTATTATAACCCCACAAATATATATATAATCCATATCCTAACTTTCCTGTTTAATCTGTATATAGCTTCCATATTTATTTCTTTAATAGCCTTTTACAATTACTCCATTATATATTTACCATATACATGTATTCTGTGCACATGTATATAAATATGTATATCCTGTGTAGCACATCTGGATAGATGCAAACTACCTTTCATTTACATTTCATCAGTGCTTGGAAATAATCTGAAAGCGTTACAAAACAAAATTTTGTTCTGTACACACTCTGAGTATACAAGATGACAATAAAAGTTGTCTAAGTTTGTTGCCTTTTACTTGTGGCAGTGTATGAAAATAAAGTTGAATTCTATTCTATTGTTTAGTTTCATTGTAATGTGCAGCTTTGGACAGTAGGTGTCACTCCAGCTAATACTTCATATGGAATCTAACTAACTTTTGCTTCCAGACTGGTGCCTGAGTGCCTTAATGTTATATATTTCTGTCATACATCAATATTCTAAATAGACTATTTAATGCAATTGAGATGTGAAGCATTTAGATTATATTATTTTAAACTTTAGACATGTAAATGATTGAAAGATAAAAGATGACGTTTTTATCCAGACATTGCTGTAGCTGCAGACCAGGATGGTCTTCTATGGAAGCAGGAATGGAGAATGCATTCCAGCTATGAAAGAATAAAGCTAAGAGTGAACCTCTGACTGATTCAGTTACAGTGTATGAAGCCGGACCCTTCTACAGTTGCTGGGGGCATTGTGGGAGTTTGGTTGTGCAGTGAGTCCAAATGAGTTACATGGATCTAGATGATTTAGTCCTATGAGGCATTTTTAATGAGTTTTTTTTTTTTTTTTTTTTTTTTTTTTTTCAGAAAATGGGGTGTAGGTGATGCATTGGGGCTTTTTCCAGGCTCGTATAATCTAAAGGAAGAAATATATCTCCAATCTAAGCATAATGTCTAAGTTCATGTCAGGAAGGACTCCTCCAGGATCCATTCATCACTCATCATGTCTGTGGTGCTCATCAACAGAATCTCAATATACAACTATTTAAATGGTTGGCAGACCAATGGATGCTTCAAAAATAAAATAAAACCAAATGATGAAATCCTGAAAAGAACAATATGTTCTAGTTGATCAGAAATCGCACTGCAACAGCAGCAGCACTCAGCCTCACCGTCCCTTCAGCACCCTGGCCACTAAAGGCTGAAAATCAATGCTGCTGCTGCTGCTGCTGCTTCAAGAAGGAGGAACAATAGATGTTGAGAAAGGATGGCCTGTTTCAGGAAACAGGAAATTGCAAAGATGTAAAGTAAAAACATCTCCAGAGTATTCTGTTTCTAAAGAAGAATGTTAGGTTTAAGGATTCACTTTTTGGGGGGTAATAATTCTCTTATGTAAAGACTGTCTAACCACTGAGATGTTGTAAGTTTAGAGTTTTATTGTATAACAGACGATTTCTCTGCCGTTTTTACTTTATGGAGCTTTTATTGAACCCACAGCAAACCTTCTCTGTTTATAGACAGGTGGCTTCCTACTCTTGACTTGGTATTTCCCCACAATTTTAGTGCACTTAAACGCAGCATAGTTGAAGCCAAATGTTTTGACTCTGACCAAAGTTTTGTTTTCTTCAAAATGCAATCAATAAATTAAAAATGGATTAAAGTGAAGTAAAAACTGTAATAAAAACCTTAAGTTAATGAAAAAATTATTAAAATTATTTTGTACACTAAGGTATTAATACGACTAACCCTTAAGTGTATTTTTGACACTTGAAGTACAAATGCAAATGTTTATTTAATAAAATCATGTATTTGTCACTTAATATAACATATCGGTATTCATCATTTTCCATCATCTGTGCCATATGAGCTTATATTAAATAATTTAGCCATCAATGCAGGCTAAAAAAATAGAAACTAATTTGTGATTGTTTAAAAAGACCAATTTGCTGTTATAGTGAAAAAACATCTACTACAGACCTTAAATAGTACAATATGAAATATCTTCATAATCATCAAAATCATGTTTAGTTTATTGCATCAATTAATTTATGAATTTATTAAATTTAACAGTATTATTCATGTCACAACAAAAACAAATATTCCATTTATCATGTTATTTTTTTAAGGATTTGTGACACCTTTTGCTCTTGAAACAACAATAAACACAAAAATAAATATATGCCTATTTCATCAATGATTCAAAGAGATGATGCATATTCTTTATTTTATTATTATTTTTTTTTTACAGTGTTTTGTCTGGCAATGTGGCAATAAGAATAATTGTCTTGATGCCAAAAAGAGCCCAACAGGTTTTGCTATCACAAGTGGAGCAATATGGCCATCGCCATAGTGTTCTGCTTGATTTATATAAATAGTTTTATTATAATGCATGCAGGGAGTATTACAGATTATATGGACAATGCAATATAGAACAGGAAAGAAAAAACAGAAAAAAAGGAGTAAAGATGAAAGAAAGAGGAGATAAAAGGGAGAAAATGATAAAACATCTTCATTCTGCTTAATCACCTGCAAAGAGATGTAAAAAGAACAGCACAACCAACTGATATAGTATAAGAAATACAGTAAAGTAGCACCTTGGTACTATTGCTAAAGTATAAGTAGTATTATTTAATCTGACAGGTATACTGTGGTAGCTGAAGATAAGAATGTGGGCTTTCTGTTTGGAAGTGAAACTCTGAGTACCTGGAGCCAAGCATCTGTAGTTGTTTGTGAGAGTGCACTTGCTGCTTGTAAAGTTTATCCAAAGGAAAAATGCTCAATAGTGGTTGTGAGGAGCCAAAGACCCGCCCCTCCAGAGCACCGAGGCAAGTGCTGGGGGACCCAAAACCCTAGATGCCCAAAAGGATTCTCAGAGCAAAGGTTCCCATGAGGGGCAAACCCAGGAAATCCGACCTCCCACTAAGGGAAGAAGAGAGATGGCCCCGAGGAAACCTCCCCAGCCGCCTCAATGCCAGAGGCCCCAGGAGCCGCGGGCTCCGCCGGCAGCCAGCATCCCATGGACCCCGGTGACCCAAGAACCCAGTGGCACCTCAGGCCAGGCCCCCTGAAAGCAGCTGCCAGGAATAAGCCAGCAACCACGCCAAGCACCACAAATGCAGCGGCAGGCCAAAGGGCCCTCCAGCAGGGGGGGGCAGGACAGGGAGAATGGGCTCCACGCTTAGCGGAGACTTTAGATGTTCTTGGGAGAGGGAGCAGTTCAGACCCCAACCTGACAAGTAAAAAAATATATATACATGCATACCTTTTTGAATGTTATTTTGAATTTAAATGTATTTATGTATTTAAATGTATTTAAAATGTATGTTTTTCCATCAAAATACTCCTGGGCATTGAATGGTGGCACTTTGACCCTTGACAGTAATCAAGCTTCTATTTTTATAAAGGTCGCCTCAAACTAGGCGGATGTTACAATAAACTTTTATTTTGAAAATCCCGCATTGTTGAAGTTTTATAGTAATTAACAAAACGGAAAAGGATACGTTGATTTTTTTTTTTTTACTTTCTCTGTGTAAACACATACATTATACACGTATATAATGTCTATGGTGTAAAACGTGTGTTTTTACTTCGGTAATTTACCTCTAAGATGATACGGTAACATATTTCATAATAAAATAATTTCCTTTCCATGCTTTTACTCTGAAATCAAACCGGAAGAAGAAATGAAACATTAAGTGTGACTTCACTCGTTGGCCAGAAGGGGGCGTGTTGTCAGTTCTTAGCTCGCCTGCCGCTAACTGCAGGCTAAAGTTTCACTTTCTGTAGCTGATGAGTATCCTCTAGCTTGAAGAATTGGCACTTCGGGGGAAACGAAACAAGAACTAGATCCAGATTTTTCGGAGCGACGCAAGGTCACCGATGTACCTCCGCGGTCACTTTCAAGGCTGATATTAACAGTTAGTGTTAAAGTTTCCCCCCCTCCCCTCCGCTGACCGCCTCCTAAAACCGTCGCTTTTCTCAGCTAGCTTTAGCGGCTAGCCACCGCTAGCATGGACAGCGGCGGAAACATGCAGAGTAATGAGGAAAGAAACGCGGAGAAACTGATGGACAACTATTTGAAATCTCAGGGGTTCCATCGGAAGAAGATCGCCAAAGATGGTTCCTGTTTGTTCCGAGCCGTAGCCGAGCAGGTAAGAGGAGGAAATCTGTCAAAACGTTTCATGTCAAGTTGCTCAGTTAGCTTAGTGAGCTCAGGTGAGCTGTGTTTGTTGTTGGATAACAACTTTAAATTCTACTCTCTTCAACCGGGAACAATGTAGCAAACCTCTGCCTGGCTTCATACACACTAAAACCTAACTTATATTTAATATTTAATAAACACTTTGTGTGTGTTTTAGTTGGGACTCATATGAGCTGCAGCCTGTCTGTTTCTAAGTGTTGAACTTTGACCCCTGCCTTCAGGTGCTGCACTGCCAGAGCCTGCATACTGAAGTAAGAGCCAAATGTGTGGAGTTTCTGAAGAAGAACCGGGACAGCTATGAAGCAGTAAGGATCACCTTTCACAAGAATCCACAACATCAGGACACTTTCACTATCAAACCATTTATCACCCTGGCACTGAAGCATGAAGCTGCATCTAAATAAACTAGGCGACTTTATACATTTAATTTCTTTACACCCAAAAAATATCCAGTTTTTCTACAAATTATATATAAATATTGTAAAAACTAAACATTTTAAATGCAGAAATGCTCCCTGATATGTTTAGACGTATTTAAAAGCATATTATCAAATAGCAGAATGGGGTTCATTGAAGGGATCAGAATAAAGAAACATGGAGGTTAAGCTCCTGTCACAGCTTGATGATTTAGACCAGGGATCTTCATCGTTTTCCAGGCCAAGGACCCCCAATCTGATGGCAAGATGGAGCAGGGATCCCCCTAATTATATATATATATATCTATAGTATAAAATTGTGTTATATCAAACTGGTCCTATAGTCACTCTATTACATATGGAGTCATGTAATGACCGTTATTTCTCCCTGGGATTATTAAAGTATTTCTGATTCCTGGTTTATGGGACAGGTGTTGTGAATGAAACGGTGCCCAGCTTGAAAGAGCTCCTGTGTGTCGCTGAATGTGAGCATTGATGACTGAAAGACATCTTCTGCCTCCATTTATCTGTTTACTACGGTCTGTTGAATTCATGTTAATGTGGATTTAAAGACATTTCAGTTATTGGAAAACATTGCAGGGTGGAATGAAAAAAAAAGGTTACGAACCAAAACTTTTGTACCTCCGTTGACCCCTTAGGGGTCACGTACCCCCTGTTGAAGATCTCCGATTTAGACAGCATATGCCTGATGTCCCAGAATCTGCTAAAATGCTGGCATACGCGGAACTTTCTATGTATTTTTTCCAATTTTGGGCATATGCATAGCATATTTATGAGTCCAGAACCTATGACCAAAGACGGCCTAACTTATGCATAAGGCACGGCACCGTAATGGCCATGAAATGTAACAAACCAGTGTCCTCCTGAGGGAGGCAACGATACGCCCGGCCTGCATAAAAAGATTGAGTTGATTGCGGTATTAAACTAGTTCAGGGGTATGCAACCTACGGCTCCGGAGCCACATTTGGCTCTTTGGACCCTCTGTAGCGGCTCTTAATAAAGGCTAAAATGTATATAAAGAGCTAAATAATGCACTAGGAGATAAATACCAGTCTTAAAAGCTTTAATGGTTTTTATACGATGGATAAGGATGAAATTAAAAGAACCGGAAATATGTTTTAGAGCCATTTTTTCTTTTAATTAGCTTGGAATTTATGTGTGTTAAAACTATTTTAAAAACAAAAAAAAAAATCAAACTCTGTTAGTTGTCTAAGATGACAAATAATTTTCTATACCAGATAATAACAAAAAAACAAATAGGTTTTTTTTTTTTTAAAAAGACTTTGTGTCTCCAAACAACTTTTACTTGGTCTGAACTCGGGGAAAAATGGCTCTTTGGATATGAAAGGTTGCAGACCCCTGACCTAGCTGCTGTTTACCACCCACCAGAAAAAAAGAATAAATAATAAAAAATAAAAGAAAGAAGGTTTGCAGCCGCAGCAGATTCAGCGTCATGTCTGCTAAGAAGTTTGTTGGTCTTGGTCGTGGGGAGGATCCATCACACTCAGCTTCACGCTCACCTTATGATGGGGATGAAGTCTGGAGGAGAACTGACAGTTTCCTCCTGTGAACCCACTTTTATACCAAAACGCTGCCATTATACAGTGGCTGTTAGTTAGAAACACCTTCAGCTGTCATCTGGAACGCGTCAAATAAGATAAGATAGAGATAAGTTACACATAAGTTATGCACAAGTTACTCATAGGTTTTGAACAAGCTAGACACCACGACTTATGAGGAACTTAACACTCACAGTATGTTAATGATAGGATAACTTGCCTGTAACTTATGGCCCACGTATGGCATTCGCTGTCATAAAGTCGGGATGTACTCACTGTATGTCGATGTGTGCCAGCATGCTCATAACCTAAATAAAACGTAGTCATAAGCTATCAAACGTAAGCCAGTGTTTTTGCCTGATTTTTCCTACGTCAGGGATGCGCTGGTCTAAATCGTCAAGGTGTGACAGGGGATTTAAAGCGGGTACTTTTCTGACGTGCTGTCTGGGTCCAAATCCTGCAGGAAAATGAAACCAGCAGGAGGATGCACAATGAACCGACTTTGGACCCGAGAGCCTCTGGGTTCCTGATTTCTGGCTAACATGAAGAAAAAGACTGGTTTGTTTAGATTAGATTAGATTAGATTAGATGAGCTTTATTGATCTCACAGCTTGAGAAATTCACTCGTCACATATTGGCATTGAAGTTACAGAAGGTGCAAAGAAGGAGGAAAAAGGTGCATTAAGAATAAGCAATATTTATACAGTATATCCAGATTTAGAAAGAGATGTTTGGACTTGTGCAGAAGTTTCTCCTTCCACACTGTCTCTAATAAGCTACGTCTTTAGTAGTTACCTTAACCTTCTGCCAGATCTTCCACATTATGTCAAATGGTTTAATATTAAACATTTTTATTGGGGAGTGGAGGCCTAGTGGTTAGGGCATAGAGCGGTTCTGAGTTTGAGCCCCACTTCCCTGAGCAAGACCCTTAACCTCACACTGCTCCCTGGGTGCCGCACAATGGCAGCCCACTGCTCCCTAAGGGGGATGGGTTACATGCAGAGGTTACAATGTTTAAATTTTTTGAGAGCTGTACTGAACGAAATTTCATTTTATATACACTCTGTGTAAACAAAGTGAGAATAAATGTCGTCTAAGTCTAATAATCGTTTCTCTTGATAATTACAGCTGTAAGTTTAGTTGGATGTATTCTATTCTCTGTGTAGTGATTCTAACTATTTCCTGTAATTAGAAAAAAATCATAAAATAAATTCTATTGTCATTGAGGTTTGAATAATCAGTTTACATGAATTAACCTTAAAGTCAGTATTTTCTATAAACGGCTTAAATGGTGAATCTGATAGGACCTTAAGGATAAAAGAAGCCATTTTTATTTTCCAAAAATATTTCACTAAAAGATTTATGTAATTTGTATTATATTTCAATAGTTGAAACACAAACCTATAAAATAACCTTACATTTTGCATATCCATTAATTTAGTTTAGCGTATTCGTTAAAAAATAGTTTGAATTGCGTAATAATCAGGCTACCTTTTTACGTTTCCAATAATAAACATAAAGGTATTTGAAATAAAATGGATGATGTAAGGTTTATTTAGTTGTGTGTGTTCAAGTTACCTAAACAAACAAATAAATTAAGATAAATCTTTCATTTTTTGGTGAAATATTTCTGAGTTTCTCCTCTTGCAGGATTTCAGGATGACGGTTTAGTCCAGCAGGTTGGCTGAATGTTGCCAGAGCTGCTGCGCTCCACAAATCAGCGTTTCAAGGCTGCATCTCAGCCGTTTGATTTACTTTATTAAATGACTCGATTCAGCATCAAAGCAGAGCGTCCAGATAGATGTCACGCTGATCTGTGTTTGTACGACCTTCGCACATCAAACACAGGAAGCAGGTGGAAAAGCTACAACCGAAAATCCCTCCAGTCGCACCGTCAGCGACGTTTAATCATATTGACTGATACTAAGTCATATATTCATTCATTTCTATCAATAGTTGATTGATTTATCAGTAATGCACTTATTTCCACGGTCAATATGTCATAAAAATGATCAGCGGGCATCATTAGACAGTAGCTGTGTTTTTTAAAGATCAGCCTTGCTGACAGAGGGCGCTGCTTTAATTTCCCTTCTGCTCAGTAGTTCTTGTTTTTACAGAAATGATGCTTTAGTTTATGTATGAACAGAAAGAAAAGTCTGTTTATTAAAGGTTTGGCAGTTTAAGTTTTACAGATCACCTTTTTTCCAAAAGAAATGCAAAACATCTCATGAACAAACCCTACATTTTGCATAAAAACTGTAACTTTCATTGACTAAACTCTTCATTTTTGTCCATAGAAAATGTTTTTAATGGATTAACACCAGATCCATTACGGAATAAGACAGAATTAAGCTGTTTAGAGTCTGTTTTTTGAAGCAAATATGTTCAGGAATGATTTTAGTAAATCTTGTTGTGGAGATAATTCTGTTAGTTGATGAAGTGAAGATGTTAGTTCTAGCATATGCCTGTTTTTGGGGCCTGTTTTTTGAGCATCTGCTGCTTTTAGAGTCTTTCCAGCAGGAGAAATGTCCCATTAGAAGTTAAGATGTTAGTTTGCATAAAACAGATACATCCGTTATGAATCGTTCCCTTGTTGTTCTAACTGCTTTATGAACTGCAGAGGTTTTTATATGCTGACAGTTTCTCTAGTTTTCTTTCTTCCTCTCTGAGTCTGGCTGCAGCTCAGGTTTAATGTCGGCTCTTCTTTCCAAGCTGTGAGGCGTAACTCGTGTCATCAGGATTTGATCACAACACGAATGGGGCAGAGAGGCCAAAGGTTGAAACGCATCGATACTTTTTACGACTTTAATTGTGTTCCCAGAAGTCAAGTTAAACGTTTTATCGAGTTTCAGTTTCTAAAAACCGCCTGTTTTCCACTTTTGGAGGGCTTTAACAGCAGCTGCACCGATTATTGGTGGAATATTTTAGGATTTAACTATAAAGAGGTCAGAGAGTCCCTTAGAGCATCTTAATGTCTCTTAGTTTGATCAGATTTAAAACACATTTTTGGACAAGAAGGGTTCCTAAAAGACTCCACCTTTCTGTGGAGACAGATCAGAATCTGTCACCATGATGGAAATCAGGACTGAAAATGAAATGTTTGTTTTTATGACCGTAATCTGATCATTGTCCTGGAGAACCGCTTCTGCAGGAATGCTGCTCGGTTTCTCTCAGAGAAGGACTGAGCTGCAGCGTTCAGGGCTCGGCTGCCTTCGCTCTGTTAATCACCTGAGCTTAGTTTCCTGGGAGTTATCCACACTGAATGCTGGGAGTTTGAGTTCTTCAGTGAGCGCCGCCACAGATCTCCTAAAGAGAAATATAACATAATTTTTCTTTTTAGCTTAAACTTTTTATATTTTCTTTATTGTTTTAAGAAACAGTTTTAGTCAATAAATCTGATGGTCTAAAGCACCAAAGCTTGACATTTTATTATAATGATGCAATCAAAGCAGAAAGATGTGCTTATTATTATGTATGGAAGAGGATTAGGGCCAGTGGAAAAAAAAAAGTTAACTGATTTTTTTATTTTATGTCAGTGTAGTATCAGAATTCTGACTTTTTTCTCAGAATTCTGACTTTTTTCTCAGAATTCTGACTTTTTTCTCAGAATTCTGACTTTTTTCTCAGAAT